TCCCCAGGCTGCTTTCCCTCTGATAAGCAAAAATCTTAAGTTAAACGCCACATTAAAATTTAATCACAATCTGTGTGCTGTAGCTAATGACAATTTCTAGACATCTGTCTTTGCCTTTGTTTAAGTCTTGTATTCCTTCTGTTTAATTCTTGCCTTGAAAAAGGAAGGCATAATTGTGTGTTGCTGTTTTGTTTTGTGTTTTTCCTTTTCTAAAAAAGAAAAAAGAAAAACCTCTACCACAGTATGTGACTTTTTTGCTTGCTAAAAATCCCATAACTGATTAATGTTATTCTCATACATTTTTCCATTATGGTTGGTATTAATTTGAAAGCAGCAAAAGAAGAGAATTAATGGTTTTTTATGCCTCCCCCCAAAACTCAGCAATAGCTAATTTCCACCATCTCTACTAACTCCTCCCTCAAAGAATGTTGTGTGGATTTTATAGATTCCAAATAAAATGGTGTTAAATGGATGCTCTAGACGAGCTGTTCTATCCTTTTTAAGCTATGCAGGCCTAACCCCCAACCCACAACAATTACTCTGCTTAGAATGGTTGGAACGAGCATCCCATTGGCTTTAATTGCATTTATGTATGTTTCTGAAAACTTCTGTCTTCAAAAGGATAAATACTAAATTGTTTAGCTGTGGCACTTGCTCATGGAGAAAAGAAATTTTATAAGAGCAACGGCAGCAATTACGCCTGTCCCTTGGTTCCTATCTCTGCCTCAGCGGAGGAGAATAAAGAAAGATAATCTTTCACTGCACTTCCTCTGATTACAGCTCCCTTTCTCCAATCGCCTTCTAGGACTGTGGAGACTTGCAGTAAGAATGTAATATTTATTATAGCAGAACTATTTAGGAGGATCAATAGAGTCAATATTGGGCTGTGCTTTTAAGTTTCAAAGGCTGGAAGAACTGACGTAGTGATCATACTATAGTGTTTTGTGGTAAAACAAGATTTCATTCCCATTTCAATGGGCTCGAGTCAATCAATAAGGTTAACTACATTTGCCCAGATTAAGGTCAATAAAATTTGTCCCTGCTCCGTATCAGAAGAGGCATACAAGTTTACATTTGCTTTTGTTCCATGGTCGATCTGTTATTAATTGATCAAAAGCCTTTCCCACAATAAATATATGAAACAATCAATTTTTAAAAATGCATAAAATTATTCTTATCCTTGAAGCAGATTGTGAGTTTTGGAGAAATTCAAGTACCCTTATACAGTGTCAATTAAAAGAGATGCTGAAATATTCAAATATGCCTGCAATATGTCCAAATATATTTCCAATATGTCCAAATGTGTGCACAATATTACTGGCTACTGCATATTTTAGCATATACTGTGCTGAACATGTACACCTTTCATAGCTGCTATAAAGCAGCAGATATATTAGAGCATACATGGAAAATATCATCATTCGGGTCAACTAAACACTGAACATGCAAGAAGCATATCAGGCACATGCAAGAAGCACATGGGGCATAAGCCTCAGATATATTGCAACTATTTAATCTGCAATATATCTGAGGCTTATGGTTCAGCTCATCGTGCAACAAAACTTTTTTGTCCATTATATTCTATGTGAATTATAATGCAAATATTGATTTGTCAGTCATTTTCCTCCAGCTCTAAACATTCATTATTCTCCCATTCTTTTTCAGCAAGTAATGTGTTCCTTTCCTTTTTTAAAGTACATCTTTGATAGAGTCAGTATCCCCCCCCCCCATCTTGTAAAAATTACGAGATGCATTTTTTTTAATCCTTAAATCATATTCTGAGGTTAGGATTGAAATCAGTAGGGGATATTGTTTTGTGGGCTCCCCAACCCCCAACTATTTCACAGTTTACCCCATCAAGTATTTCCAGATTCAGGCTTGTGCAAGGGAGTCTAAAATAAAGTCACATTTATAATGAATTGTTTGTGAAAACTCCACACACACCCCTTGGTACATCCTGTGCACTCTCTGCTGTCTCCAATTTGCAAAATCTTTGCATTTCTCCTGCATACTTTATCTAAATCATGTTATCAGTTTACATTTCCCGACATAAAAACACAAACATCTAAGCTCAAATGATTCACGAACACAAATATCGTCTACTTCTTGTCCTTTGAAAAGAATTAAGTAAACTGCCTGTTCAAAATGGTTACACTAACTGTCTCCTTTTCTCAAAGCCAAAGCAAAATGAGTGGTTAAAAATATTACACATTTGAAAAATGCAAATAGGGTTATCCAAATATGCAGCCATATGTCCTCAATGCACACAGTTAAAAAAGAATTTTGTAAGGCTGTGCAGCAAACAAGTATATTTAAAGGTGCTGCATGCTAATGGCCGTGCAATGTGTTCTGTATGTTCATGTGATATTATTTTAAAAGGAGACATCCCCCCCACCTTGTAATAAACATGCCACCAAGCGTTCTAATATAAATGCAGTCTTAAAACAGATCTCAGCTAGTGAGCCGTCTTCCTTTTCTCGCTCTTTAAATGCCATTCTCAGGGAAGCAGCTCAGAGCATTCCTTTGGATGTTAACATAAATTAGTTCATGTAATTTATGCTGCAAAGTTTGTCTAACCTTTAAGCAACTTTGCTCCGCTGATCACAGCATCAATAACAATAGGGGAGATGAGGCCAAATCCAACTGGTTAAACCCCTAACAGGAAAATATCAATTAATCTTTTTCAATAGAGTTGAAGTATGGGTAATCCTCTCATTAAATTGTTTGAACTTTTCTCCCAGTAAACAAAGGAGGAATAATGAGTGATGTGATCTGACTTGTTTATATGAGGACTCTTCCAGGGGCTTAGGCGCGACTTCTCAGCGCTCAGTCCTTCGTAGTCACTTGTCACTAATTACCCATTTTAAAGGCATTTGTGTCAGTTCAGGAACTCCAAAAGGAAACTATTCTCAGGTTCTAGGGTGAAGATGATAAAAGTCAATGTATTCCGTTCATAAGTGCATGAACAAGCATAGCTAGAAATACCACAAACAGTGTTTCTGTGAAGCAAAAAACCTCACCTTGATCTACATTTTATTAAAATGCTACTGTTTACCAAAAGCAACCTTGCTTGTTGTTGTTTTCTCAACATCCGCCTGTCATTTCATTTAATATGAAATACTTGGATTAAAAAATTTGGGAGATCATTCACCATCTGATTTACAGATTAGTTAAGCACCAGGAAGCTGATGTTGTTTTTGCTAGATGTGTCAGAAATAGTTTTGTGGCTATGGGTTTTTTTCTGAAGCAATTTGAGTGAAAGTGAAGGGGGCGAAACTCCATAATACAGGGAATGATTTGCAGTAAAAGGTCTTGGATTCAGTTCTCACTGCCTCCATGAAGGGGTAGTTATAGCTCAGTGACATGCTTTGCATCATTAGATCTAAGGTTCAGTTCAGAAAATCTCCAGTTAAAAAGTCAGGTAGGAGGTGCTGGAATAGACCTCTGCCTGAGACCCAAGAGATCCAGGACCAGTAGCCAATGCTGGCTTGGATGGACAAAACTACAAGTGACGTCCGCCTTTCTATACTAATATAATGTGAGACTCTTGGATCTCCCCTGTAGTGAGACTGGTGGACCATGGTACGCTTTCTGAGCTCAATGAGCTCATCGTGAAAGAGAGCCAAGGATAGTGATTGTGATATAAAATGATTGCTAGTCGTTTGTTACATTTTTAGCGTGTCTGTTGCTTTTGCATCAGTTTCTCTCAGCCTTCTGATGTAAATGAAGCTGAGATACTTGGCCTGGGTACCTAGTGAGCCTCAGGACTTAAAAAGGAATTTTAACTTGGATCTCCCAATATGCAAACATTATGCACTTAATTGTCCTGCCCTCCCATTCTTATGTGCATGAAGAAGGAAAATTACCCAGATCTACCCTGCAATGGTCAGATAAAGCCATGCTTATGAGGGGAAAGATAACTAGCACAACTGTTAGCATTCCCTATTCCAAATTCCTAAACACCAGGAACAGGGACTTTTTCAGTGGTGGGTCCACAAATGTGGTACTCCCTCTTTAGAAACTCTTCCAAGCTCCTTTTCACCCTACTTTCATTCATGCTCTGAATATATTTTTTATCTCACACAGCTTTTTATTAATGGTTTTCTGTGAGTTCTTGTATGTTGTTGTTGTTGTTTTTTTACTTGTATTGTTTGCTTATTCTGGGTTTTTAATTGTAGTTTTCATTTATGATGTAATCCACTTTAGGACACTTTTCTTGGGATACAAAAGGCTAAAATAAAATTTAAAAGGTGGCAAATCAAACGTTACAACCCAGGATGTAAAAGACATTGAAAAGAAATGAAGAACAAAGTTTTAAATGTCACTTACTCTAGTTATACTTTGAGGACAACACTGAAAAACCTGTCTGAATAGTTTCCTTTTGTCTTTGTACATGTATAGCTTATCAAACTATAAATGGTATCATAATGGTCGTGAAAACACTGTTTGCATTGGAGAACAGCTCAATTTATTCTGAAACCCTGATCTCACTGGCCAGGATTCAGTGAACCCAGAACACTAGCGGAAGCCAGCATAAGGGCTTCTGCTAGTACAGTGGGGCTTTTTGCCCTTTCCCCCACCATGCCTCCTACTCTTGAGGGTCAGTAGAACAGCCAGAATAGCATGTGGGGAGAGTGCAATTATCCCATCTGGTGATCAGAAATGCTTGTGCTGATGCACACCATCCAGGGGTCAGAAAACTTTTTCAGCAGGGGGCCGGTCCACTATCCCTCAGACCTTGTGGGGGGGCTGGACTATATTTTTTTGGGGGGGGGGATGAACGAATTCCTATGCCCCACAAATAACCCAGAGATGCATTTTAAATAAAAGCACACATTCTACTCATGTAAAAACACGCTGATTCCCAGACTGTCCGCGGGCTAGATTGAGAAGGTGATTGGGCCACATCCGGCCCCCAGGCCTTAGTTTGCCTACCCATGATTTAGACCCTAAGGGAAACTAAGCATCACCCTTGTTTTGTACATTGCTTCCTAACATGAGCCAGTGTGGTGTAGTGGTTAGAGTGCTGGACTAGGACCTGGGAGGCCAGGGTTCAAATCCCCACATCCCCAGCGGCAGAGCCAGACAGCATAAAGAGGCAATGGAAGGGATGGGACTGGAGAGCATGTCCCTACCCTAGCCCCATACAATTCTAATTTCACAATGGCTTAGAATGCCTGAACAGACCTCATGAGCAAGGATTAAGACATACTGGGAGATGATTTATAATGAAATGAAAAAGGTACTTAAATATACCTTCCTGAAGAAACCAGAGGCCTTTCTCCTGGGCATGGTAGGCCAATTGGTGCCAAAGAAGGATAGAACCTTTTTTATGTATGCAACAACAGCAGCAAGAATACTCATCGCAAAGTATTGGAAGACACAAGATTTACCCACCCGGGAAGAATGGCAGATGAAGTTGATGGACTATATGGAATTGGCGGAAATGACTGGCAAAATCCGAGACCAGGGAGAAGAGTTGGTGGAAGAAGTTGTGGAAGAAGAGAAGTTGTGGAGAAGAGTTGGTGGAAGAAGACTGGAAAAAGTTTAAAGACTATTTACAGAAATACTGTAAAATTAATGAATGTTAGAAAAATGTTGGAATGAAATTATATGGCTTTAGTAGAAATGTTACAAGGAATTAAGTATAAATAGAGTATTAAAGGAAAAAATAAGGTTAGAACGTGTTAAGACAATTATAGGATAGAAAACAGAGGAAGATGGAAAGGAACTGCTGAAACAATTAACAGAAGTGGAATACAAAAAGGGAGGTGGGAGGAGGTCGTGGAAATAAGTGAATGAAAGATAAGATATTGAAATTGTTTGACTCATTTTAAACTGTTTTTGTTTTGTTTTGTTAGTTTAATGTATTTAATGTGTTTTATGTGTCAATGTTATGTAGTGTTTTTAATTGTATTGTATTGTATTGTTTTTGTAGTGTTTAAATTGTTAGAAAAGTAATAAATATTAATTTTTTTAAAAAAAAGAATGCCTGAACAGACCTTTCACTTCATAAATGTGGAATTATCACGAGAAGGTCTGAGAGAGTTGAATGCCACAGTTTTATGCAGTGTATTACTTATACTCACCCACAGCCAAAATGCCACAATATATTATATTTGCAAAACACCACATGCATGGCATGAAAATGGTCCATAACCCTGCACCTTGTTTGGTGTGTCAGTGGCTGAATCCAATTGCCTGAAAGTCAGGATAAACTGCCGGTTAAACTCAGGAACTGGAAGGTAAAACAGTCTTTTGGTGCCTCTGTCTTGTATGTCACTTTTGCTGAGGACAAGATGTTCTGCCCATTGCTACTTCCACGATGGCTTAGTTTTGTCACCCTTGATGTGTATCTTACCATGCTGTGCTAATCTCTCAGAAAAAGAATCTAAACTATTACTCATATGTTCCTGAGGCGAGGACTGCAAATCTATAATTTAGTACCCCTTGGTTATAATTCAGGACCAAAAGGAAGAAATTGGGTTCTTTCAACATTTCTCTTTAAATGATTTCCTCACTGCAAGAGACACCAAAGAAGGCATTTATGTGAAACATTTGAAGAATTCATTTCCTGTAGCATAGCTGGATGAGGGTCTGCTTAAAAGGCACATTTAAGTAAGAAGCTTTGGGTGAGTGTGTGTTGCGCGTGCATCATTTTCATCTTCATAAACGATGGAAACTCTTTACTTGCTCCCCCCACCCCTTTTCTTTCTGATGGTGAAAGGGAGGAATGGAAGATGAATCTGGTACAATAATAACAATAAATGGGGATTACCTAAAAGCACCTTTTGTCCTGTACACAATGTGGCACTTGTATTATTCAAATGTGAATAATCAGCTGGAAATCTAACTCTCACTCCACATGATCAGTGGTGACTGTCAGCACTTTTCTCACCCCTGTCTCCCCTCTACTCTGCTTAGTGCAAGGAAAATAGGACCATTTTCTGCAAAATGAGAGGAAATGTAACATGCTAAATGAATGGATGGATGGATAGCAAAACTGAAGGAAGGAAAATGGCATAGGACATGGTCCAGTTTTCAAAAGGCAAATCTCTTGTAACTGAAATAATTAAAGGCACTTGTACTACTAACAAGGAAAAAAGTATGTGGTGACCAGCGCTTTTTTTCTAAACAAATGTTTAGGGGTATTCTCATTTTCCTACTCATATTGAAATACTGCCCCTCAATGATGCCAAACCTGGATTCACAAAATGTTTAGGGGTATGTGTCCCCCTGCATACCGCCAGAAAAAAGCACTGGTGGTGACAATACTCTAATCTATTGGCTAACCTGAAATAAAATGAAGGCACATTGTTTAGCTTAGTCCTGATCAAGGAAGCCCTTGGTGGAAACAATCACCTAAAGATACACTGAGCAGGGCTACTCAGTTTCCATCTTCTCCAGGAGAAATATATCATACCTACTGGTTCTTACCTACTGGCGTGCTCTGGTCCATGGGGTCACGAAGAGTCGGACACGACTAAACGACTAAACAACAACAACTGGTTCTTAGAATAATAGAGCTAAAAGAGATTCTAGTCCAAACTCATATACTGAATGAGGCTCATCTCTTCTCAAATACCCACAACACAGGAGTTGCCAATATGGTACTTTTGAATAGTCTTGGATGATGGGAGGCACATCTGGAAGGCACCTTAGAGTCATAGAGTTGGAAGGGACCCTGAGCACCATCTACACCTGCCCTAACACATTATGACCAAATTATACAGTGGTACCTCGGGTTACATACACTTCAGGTTACATACGCTTCAGGTTACAGACTCCGCTAACCCAAAAGAGTGCTTCAGGTTAAGAACTTTGCTTCAGGATAAGAACAGAAATCGTGCTCTGGCAGCACAGCGGCAGCAGGAGGCCCCATTAGCTAAAGTGGTGCTTCAGGTTAAGAACAGTTTCAGGTTAAGAACAGACCTCCGGAACAAATTAAGTACTTAACCTGAGGTACCACTGTATATATATTGCTTAGTGCTTTATATGTTCCATGCACTAAAGGATTGTCACACAAATAAGATGTCCTGCATCAAATATATTGTAACCATCAGTTGCTTCCAATTCCTGGAGAAGACATCCTTGGCTTCCTAGCTTGTAACCCACCTCTTCCCTTTCAGCGTGTCCTGTTATCCTATTCCACTAGTCCTTGTCAAATGACTGGAAATTCTTTGAAAGCTTGGATCTTGGCAGCAGAATAAATTATGCAAAAGAAGCAAATCTAGCATGTGGCCTTTTAGTCCTTGAAATATGGCTGTATCCGATCATGCAAATCAGCATAACTTGCGATGTCATTTTGAAAGTGGAAGTAAACAAAAGAGGGTGGGGAAAAGACTCAGAATGCCTCCAGTTACAGACCTAATTTATCCAAGGACTGCATTTTGTTCCCTCCTTCAGGTATTAACCTGGAATGTAGGGTGATGGCCCAAACATGCACATCAACTTCACTTCTGATATCTAGATCTTTGGTGGATCTCATTTTACAGTGAGCTGGATCCAGATTTTGTTCCCAATACAGGACCATGTACTGAATGAAATGTGAAATGGCGAGGAATGCTGTGCTACATGTTCTTGTTAAGTTTTGGCTTATTGTTACTGCAGATGAAGCCAGATAAAGTCTACGCAGTCTCTATGACTGAGTTCAACTTACTAGATTCCTCCATACAAAAAACTGCAAACTGATGTGGAAATGTAGAGGGCTGAGCTTAAGATCGGAAAGATGAGAAAACGAAATTGACAGAGCCACCTATCCCATCCCGTCCACCCATACCAAATCTAACTGACATATTGTACATATACATTCTGCACAACAAGCATATCAGGGTGTATTTTTAAAGTTTCATGTTCAGGGCATGTAAAAATGTATTAGAAACATTGCCTTTTTGCATGTACAGCTTTTTTGCGTTTTTTGTCCAGAAAATACACTCTTGTTTAGTCCCCCCCCCCCCACACACAATAAATTATGCCCATGGCACCCTAGTACAATAGTTATGTTAAAGGTAGAGGGACCCCTGACCATTAGGTCCAGTCGCAAACGACTCTGGGGTTGCAGCGCTCATCTTGCTTTATTGGCCGAGGGACCCGGTGTACAGCTTCCGGGTCATGTGGCCAGCATGACTCAGCCGCTTCTGGCAAACCAGAGCAGCGCACGGAAACGCCGTTTACCTTCCCGCCGGAGCGGTACCTATTTATCTACTTGCACTTTGACGTGCTTTCGAACTGCTAGGTGGGCAGGAGCAGGGACCAGGCAACGGGAGCTCACCCAGTCGCGGGGATTTGAACTGCCGACCTTCTGATCGGCAAGTCCTAGGCTCTGTGGTTTAACAGTTATAACCCAGTTATATTAAGATCACTCCAAAAAAAAAAAAAAAACAGAATCTTGAAATCGGGGGTTTTAATGTAATGCACAACCATCACAAAACAACTAAGATTTCCACAATGCCAGAAGCAATCCAGATTGATACAAATCTGGGTGGATTTTCTATCATGTATGTTCCCCAAATACATATTCAGAGGATGAAGGCACAAACACAGGAATATTTATTTCAGTTTTGAGGAAGAACACCTTCTTTCAGGATCCCCTTGTTTACCACCAGCTTACGACTTTACACATAATTGCCCATTATTGAGCCAGCATGGGAACATGATTTTGATTATGTAAAAGTGTAGCAGACATCCTAGAATCGGGGACTTTGGGATCCTATGAGTAATAATAGGGTATCAACATTCAGTATAAACATGTAAAGTTCTTGAAATGTTTTAAATAAATGTCAACATATATAAAATAACATTCCTTTGACAAGCATTAATTTCTTATTTTTTCAGCGTCAGCTACTGGCAAAAATTGGCATAGCATTTCACTGTTGCCTACAGCCTGACACACTTCACCTCCCTGAATCACTCACGTAGCTTGAAGTTCTCACATAACAAAGAGCAGTTCCCTATAATGTCAGGTACATTGTTCCTTTTACAGGAATAGAAGTGCTATCAATTAATTTTCCTTCTTCTAAAGGAAAAGGAGTAAAAAGAAATCTGCTAGCATATATCAGAAAGTGACTGGAGGGGGTAG